GCGATGGCCACAAAATTGTACGGCTTTAAAAGAGGATTGGGCAAATTTGTGGAGGATGAGGCTATCCATGTCTACTAGCCATGACTACAATCCTTTGCCTCCCAGTCAGGGGAAGGAATGCTTGTGAATACGTTTCCGGAAATCACAAGAGGGCCCAGTGTTCTTGGAGTTGGGTCCTTCTTGCAGCTTTCTCCAGTAGTGGATTTTGGGCTTCCAAATTTCCATGGCACCCTGTGCAATGCCAAAATTTAGCCCATGCACGCACATGCACACACTGCCTTCCATTCTAAGTCATTGTTGCAGGGGGGTCTGCAGCGCTCTCCCGACTCAACTTGTTGCCCAGTGCAGGAGAACTGGTCCATGCAGACATCTGGTTGGCCACTGGGATGCTGGACGAGATAGGCCGTTGGCCAGCTTCAGCAGGCTCTTCTGATATCCTTATGTGGTCTATGATAAACATATAAATGATATCAACTGCCAGGATGATACTTGATTGCACACTGGAAATGCAAAAAAGGAAACCAAGTATTGTTTGGCTAGTATTATAAAGGATGTGGGACATCTCCGTGGAACATTGGAAGTTATTACACACAGGGAGATGACAGTCTCTTTCAGCATAAAACGCAATAAGGCTAATCGGCAATAAATATGAAAACATAAATTGTGTGAAGGGTGAGTCAGAAGTATACACTGTCTTATCTGCTCTGTGGACTTCTCATTCCCCCTCTGCTGCAGACACGATGATGCTTTAATTCATCTGAACAGGCACACAATACATAGCAGCTCGTTCCTATTAACACGGGAGAGTGATTTGGCACGTAAAGCAATCGGCTTGTAATCAATAGATAGGAACGGCTGCAGTAGATATCTTTTTCTGCTTGGGTGATAACATCTTTTCCGTCGCAGCCAGTGGCAGCTGGCGGCTGCTAGACCAGGGGTGGGGTGCAAGTGGCGCAGGGTCACAGTGGTGCAGCCAAGTTTCTCCGGTTTTCTCCCTACCTTCCTCCCTTGCAAAGCTTCTATGGGAATTTAAGCCTTGCTTAAGAGCAGGAGGATTGGCCCAATCTAGCAGGGTCATAAGGAAGGTTTGAGGGCCTAGCCAAAAATACCCAACGTGAAAGTGTTCTGAATTTAATGTGTTTCAATAGCCATTCTGAAATTAAGTTTATACCAAAGGTGGGCAGGGGGCTGGAAGAAGGTCATTTGGAAGGAACCAATGTAATCCTTTTTTAAAAAATAATTTTTATTGAAATTATACATTTTTTAACATCAAAATATCATAACATATAGCAAAAATACCATTCCCCAATTTCCCCCTAGCCCTCCCCGACTTCCCTCAGATTCCTCTTCCAGTTTTTTTGGCATCTTATCTCTCCCAGCTTATTTGTTATTTCTTTTTCTTTAAAACTTTTTAAAACATAATTATTATAATTCTCTTATCATTTTAACACCCTTGTTCTATTTCCTACATTTGTTCTGTTAATTGCAAGTGTTTAATCAAACCCCGCAAGTGAGTCCGTTTCTTTACATTGATTCTGTAGATATAACATGAATGGTTCCCAGTCTTTCTTAAAATCTGTACTGTCCTTGTCTCAGAAACCAATGTATTCCAATGTCATATCCCTCCAGCATGTTGAGTCTCAAAACCGGGACATGCATCTTCCTGTCCAAGCTCCTGCACAAGCCATGTGACCTGTGCAAGGTCACTGAGCCCCAAAGACACACTTTATTTTTCAGGGCTCACAATGCCCAGAAACACATGTTTTGCACCACACAAGATCTTCATGGCCCTGCCCCCCGTTTTTATCAGGGCTTGATCTCAGAGCAAAAGCCACATGAGATCACAGCGCCCACATCTTGCAGGAAAAGAACAGGATGTCCCTGTGGAATAGTCTGGGCAGGCTGCCAAGAATATCTCACACCCCCTCACAGCCTGCAGAGAACAGCTAGCTCCTGAGCATGCACAGAGTGTGTTGTTAGACTTTGGTGTAAGATAAGGATTGGCTGAGCTCAGCCAGTCAGTGTTATACTGTAACAGAGCAGCTATATATATACAGTATGCCTGCGTTCTCAGAGAGTCTGTCTGTCTGTGGTGGTTAGAGTATGAAGAATTGGTTGATGGCAGTTTCCTGAGAGAGTGTTTGCTGAGAGATGCTGTTAAAACTCTGTATCTGTAAATAGTAATATGTGTGTTTATTACTGTTTACTACAATAAACACTAGGACACGGGTGGTGCTGTGGTCTAAACCACTGAGCCTCTTGGGCTTGCCGATCAGAAGGTCGGTGGTTCAAACCCCCGCAACAGGGTGAGCTCCCGTTGCTTGGTCCCAGCTCCTGCCAACCTAGCAGTTCAAAAGCATGTCAAAGTGCAAGTAGATAAATAGGTACCACTCCAGCAGGAAGGTAAAAGGCGTTTCCGTGCACTGCTCTGGTTTCGCCAGAAGCGGCTTAGTCATGCTGGCCGCATGACCTGGAAAAACTGTCTGCGGACAAACGTCGGCTCCCTCAGCCAGTAAAGCGAGATGAGCGCCGCAACCCCAGAGTCATTTGCGACCAGACTTAACTGTCAGGGGTCCTTTACCTTTACAAATAAACACTACTTGTAGCTTTCAAGCTGTTTTTTCCTTCATTGTCCAGAAGGACAGCGTTCAGACTTCAAACGGCTTCCAACGACATTGCGTATTCTGCAAAGCTCACAGTGTGTGGGCACAAGATTTATTAGCACACTTTGCTTGCAATAAATCTCTCAAAGTCCTGATATTTCCAGGACACTTGCGGGGTACGCAATGTCCATTCTCTCATGTGTTTGGTGGCAGCCATGTAGAAAGTGACAAAATAGGTGTAGGCTAGTTGTCTAGGGCTACTGGGGTACAACCGTTCCATAGAGAATGTCAAGAGATTTAAAAAAAAAACAATTCCCATCTACCCCCTGATTTCTTCACCTAAGACCTAGGCCACTAGGCCTCCAAATTCCTGGGGCAGGTACTGTGCTTATGGCACCCATTTAAAATTAGTCCTGTTGGACTACCACAATCCTGATATCAACACAGAAGTAAAAAGTAGAGTTAAAACTACTAATGCCTTTCATCAAACCTTTTTGAGTTTGTCAGTGGACAGTGTGAAGAACTGAAGTTATGCTACCAGCCGTAAATGTCAGCCAAGTTATAACCTTGGCGTTTTCTTCCGCTTTGGGCAGTCTTGTCTGGGTCATGCTGTCCAAAATTTACCACCCAACTCACGATTGCTTTCCTCTTGAAATTCATTCTCAGCTCAGGTATTGCCAGGTCCTCTGCTGATATCCGCAAGGCTGTGGATCTAGGAAGGGGGCCCGTTCAAAAAATGTTCGGAGATGCGTCTAGTGGAAAACAGCCTCTGGGAAAGAAAGGCACCTATTCAATTAAAAAATATATATTTATTTTTATTTTGGCCAAGCAAGAACTTCTGTTTAATCTTCTGTTTGAAGGCAGGAAAGTATTAAAAAGCCAGTATATGCTTCAGCTTTCAACAGTATAGTTCAGGCAGAAGAAACAAATTACTATCTATCTATTACTTTCTATACAAAGGATGGGGAATTGGTGGATTCCGTTTATTGTGGGCTACATCATCCCTGACCACTGGGACGTGTACTCAGGCACAGCAATATGTACAAATATATGACATAAAAGGTTAACTCCTGAAATACTATTTCTGTCGCTCTCTTAATGTCTTTTTATTTTGCTGCTATTGCATTAACTTCCGACTGATATGCCCATTCTTTGCCGACGTTATAGACTGTACTTTAAGTTTCCCATCACCTAGAAAACTCTGCTTATGGACTAACCAATTGTATGATTAAATAAATGCTGCATACACCATCAAAGGAAACAGGGAGAGTGAAGTTGGAAGAGTTGTACGACCTCAGCAAATTGCCAACTCGGAACTGTCCAAGGTCCTGCGATGAGAGAGTTCTGGTAGTAGATGACTCAGTCAAGGAAGCCAAGTTGCATGCAACTGGGTGGGGGTTTCTAGAAACACCACGTTCTTCTGGATTTTTGGCCATTTCTGAGGCCATCCCCAAGGAGATTCTGACTCAACATTAGGAAGAACTTTCTGACAGTAAGAACAGCTGCTCGACACTGGGACGGACTCCCCCGGAAAGTGGTGAACTCTCCTTCCTTGGAGGTTTTTAAGCAGAGGTTGGGTGGCCATCTGTCATGGATGAAGTCAGGTGTGAGTGCAGGAGCCAGGCCCTGTGACCAATAAGACTTTACAGGATTGGGGCCTTCCTAAGTTTGTTTGAAGAGGCAAGGCGTGGCCACACAGGTGAGGCCGATTGGTAACTCACAGCACCTGGTGGCAAGAGCTGGGAAGGGATTTAAGGTCAGCATTTCCCTTAGGCTCTTTGCCACAGCGACACGTTTCCTGCCTTGGGCCTCTTGCTTCCTGATCCTTGAACCTCAGCTTCTTGACTGCCTGCTTCTTGATCCTCGGACCCCTGACTTCGTGACTCCTTGCTTCCTGACCCTTGGACCCTTGGCTTCCTGACTCCTGGCTTCTGGACCCCCATTCCTGCTCCCAGCCTGCCATCTTGCTCCCGGTCCTTACGTCCCCTGCCGGGACTTTGATCGCCCATGAACCGGACCGTGACAGATGATTTAGCTGAGATTCCTGCATTGCTCAGGCTTGGACTAGATGACCCTTGGGGTCCCTTCCAACTCTACAATTATATGATTCTACGATAAGAAGAGCCCTACTGGATCCAGACCAAAGGCCCGTCTCCTCCAGTATTCTGGTCTCACAGTGGCCATATACTCAAGGGGAGTCCACAAGCAAGACCCAAGTGCAACAGCAATTTCCCCCAATTCTGTTCCCACCACCCCCCAACCTAAAAGTACAGAAAGGGGAGGAGGGGAAGGGGGCTGTAACTGGGTTTCTTTTTGAATCATCACCATCATCAACCATAAAGAGCTAAGCAGATATGACTCCAGCAGAAATGGGGGGGGGGGAAATAACCACAGTGAATCATAGACCAAGACAGCAAGTCTTTAATGATATTATTGCATAGCATGATAAGACAAATGAATGAGATGCTTTTGGGGCCACCACATTTATTATGTCCCATGTCCCAAAGACCCAGCTGAACTTCCACTTTTCACTTAATGCTTCTCTGTAGGTCCTTTCACACAGATGTTACAAATCTTCGTAACAGTGAACTTTCTTTACTTTTAAAGGCAGGCAGATTCGTGGAGCGGACAACATTTATAACCGTGATTATGCAGAAAGGCAAAAGTATTCTTCAAGAATTTAAAAAAAAACAAACAAAAAACCCACACACAAATATTATTCACATTGTTAAAGTGACTTCTCTAAGGCCATGAAGGGATCGTAAAAAGCCAAAAATGGGCAGGAGGAGCGCTCTTAACATGGGAGAGTGTGAACAATCGGAGATTCTGAGCACCGATACAAAATGCCATTTTCCGGGAGAGATTTGGAACAAGCCACAACTGTTGGACAGGTTTAAATCACCCACAAGAAAGCTCTTTATGCTACATTCCTGCAGGTCTATTAATTTCTACAGGTGAATCTTGGAGCAATCCATAATACTCGTACCTCAGCATCACTTTCCACACTATAAAGCCAAAGTTTTGGTCCATAAGAGAAAAACTTGGTTGGGTAATGCCTTTTATTTTACCTCATGGAGACAACATTTTGCCTTTCCTTTCCAACTTAATCCTACCACCTAGTTTTGGGTGACATCTTGCCTAACCAAGAGTTCCAGGTGACCCAAAAGTTCCCCACATTTTGGTTGGTCCCAATCCAGGTTTTTCTCAAGAGATGGGCCTTGGAGTGTCCTCCAAACTATGGGATTCCTTCCCCCTGCCCCAAGAAGCAGCTCCTGAGAGAAATAGCAAGTCTGCAGAAGATGTACACATGTGCACAACTGCATGTCACGTAGCTCAGAATGTGGAGTTTCTGGGTTCTTTAGTAAGCAAGTATATTGATCCTCCTCACCCAGTGCTTTACTCCTGGGGGAAGGAGAGATCAGTGATGTACACTGAAATCCTGGGATGCCACATCAGCTTCTCAGCAGGCTTGAGTGGACCTGATCGGTCTTCCAGAGGTTTAGGATCTCGTGGACCACAGACTGCAAGACGTGAGCTGCATCTGTTGCTAATTCGCACAAGCCAGTGTGGGTGTCTTCAAACACAGGAATGTTCCTGGTTGGTTACTGGTGACAATTTTCTCATGCATCTGCACCTTGTGTGTGGTCCAAGTTCTCGTGGGCAGAATGATGCAGATGACTGCGCTACCCAGGGAGGAGCAGAACCACCTCGATGAATCTGCAGGGGGCTCTTCCTCGTCTATGGGAGAATAACACAAGCTCATCTCAAGCCACTGAGAGCCAAGATTGTCAACTTAACCTGCTCTTCTCAGACAAGCCCAGTCCAGCAGTACAATTTTGCGACAGAAAAGTCTCCTCTCACAAATGAGCCACTATATATATAATCAGAAGAATTGTGATAGGATGCTGGAATACTTGGTGAACCTACTTACAAGAATGAACTATGTGTGGCTTGACAAAAATACCTAGTGAAACAGGGTTGAAACGGCACAGGGAGAACTTCATCAATGGGCTTCTTAGCTAAGATATAACCAAAGGGAACTCAAGACTCAAACGCCATTGAGTTACTGTCTAAAATGCTTCCAAGCAACCATATCCATGCAGTGAAGATCTGTTTCACCTAGATGTTTGGCCTAGTTCTGGAACATTTAACCAGCCCCCTGCCCCACCCTGAGCGCTGAAATTTCCATGATATTGAACCCTCCCTCCCAGTCATTCTGCCCATTTATATGCCTTGCTGAAAAGCAACCGTGAAAACATGAAGAAACTCAAAACAATATTGTAAACAAAATACCAGTGGACAGTGTTTGTGATCCAGTTGTAAGAACACTTAGAGGTTCGTTCAGATGCAACCAGTAGGACTTATGCACACAAAAATGGGTTAAGATTGTGGCACGGACAGGAAAATTCATTGGGACAGTATTGTCTGCGGACCATGAAATATTTTGTACAGACACAGGGACGGTTCAAATATATTAGTATCTCTTTGTATATCTACGCTCAAGAGTTGCGCAAGGCAGTTCCATGTTCAGTCTTTTATGATTCTCGTTTCAGGAGGACATACGCGCCCATGACAGCCAGGAGAGCGTACTGCAAACAAAACATATAGATTACTTTGGTATCTAACATAACTCTTTGCATCTCAGATGTCAAAAATCAGATCCTGTTTCAGAATAAGTTTTCAATATAGTACTGGCACCAGTTTCTGAAAAGCAAAGGATAGGTCGAAATTGTCTGCAATGTGAACGAACGTGGATTCCCGACTGGCCAATATCCCTTCCAGTGGAGTAATTCACTCTCGCCTGGTTCACACATAACACTAAACCATGGTTTACCATTCCATGGTCTATTAAACCATGGTTCGGCATTATGTGCAAATCCTGCCCAAAGCTTAACTATGGTTTGTTCACTGCCAACAAACCACAAACTGCAACCATGAACCTTGAGTTTGGTTTGGTTTTTTTAAAAGCTATGGTTTGGTGTTATGTGTGAACCCATCCTTAAAAGTGATTCAACCACCAGATGCTCACTAAACTACAAAGAAGCTGGAGACAGACTAACTTTGGAGAAGCAATGTATTTCATTCATGGCTGGTTAAATGAACTATGGCTTCCAATTATGTATAAACCTGGACTCTATGTACATCCCTATGTGTGAGTGAAGCTGCACTCATGACTGAAGTGAATGGAGCAGGAATTCTGGGCGCCACTGGAGGGCACATGGGGCTTTGAATAAGAGTGCATATACTTATGCATGTAGATGTATTCTTACTTGATTAGAGATCTAATATTTGACCCTTGGTGTGTTTCAAATAATGATTAAAACTGAAATCTAACAGAGTCACAGAACGCACAGTATTACCGCATGACTAATTATGTGTGGAAATTATATCTACAGCTATACAAAAGCAAGGTTTATTTTAATACTGCCTATAGCAACATTGTCGGGAATTTAAAAACATTCTGTTGAGCAAAACAAAAAAGAATAAAAAGCTTATTTGTAAATGTGACACATGGCTAGTTTTCTCTGTGGCGTATTGAGAACAGGAAAAATAAAAACACTGCTCTATTTGAATACTCACGCTCGCAAAAATTCTCCAGCATGATCCTTGATGCAAAGCAAGATGCTGCCCTCAGAAATATGAAACGGGAATGATATCTGCATAAGGCGAACATTTCCTTGAGTACAGTATATTTTTTAAAAAAATCAGGGAATTGAGGCTTTGTACATTGACAGTCGGGTGCTAGGGACCTCTGCTTCACAAACTCCACTGAAATTAATGGGAGCTACACAACAGACGACTGGTAGTTTTGCGTAATTCCCATTCACTTTAATGATACTGGCTTTCGCTGCATCAGCATTTGGTTTTTCTTATTTACCATCAAGCGGTGTATAAATTTTATAAAATAAATCCGTCAATGCATTGAGCCCACTGTGTGCAGACCAAAATTATCCCATATCTGAAACATGAGCCTTTAGTGGCAAAAGGAAGTAGGCATGATAAAATCTTCCAAGCACAATCTTCTCTCTAACAGGGAATCTGTTCATGCAAGTTTGCAGACTGGTTGGCGAAAGAATTGCTTCTTTGCCGAAAAAGTTATTGGCCCCAAAGTTAAATCTTTACTTACCTTAAATTTTGGATAGTCGTTCATGATTATGGTCACCATTCCAACATACGGCAAAAACCTGATTCGTGGAGGTTAAACAGAATAGCATAAAGTCATTTCAAAATAGCCTGACTTAATGTAGCATTTTATGCTTTTATTTTTATATTTAAGCCAGACCAGGTACAAGCCTCAGGAGCTTCAAATATCAGAATTCACCATTAAAGGAGAAAAAGGTTTCTAGCCCTTTTGGCTAGTATAGTTTGAGAATTTGATGGCTAAAACTGATAGAAGTAGAATAAATAAAGGCTGAAAACGAACAGTCCATTTGAATGTATGTAATGGCCAGGAAGTCAGGGATCAGTTGGCCCAGAACAGCCCACATCCTCCCTCCAGAGAGACAAGCGCTGATTTGAGCAAAATAAATACACACAAGACAGATAATAGTTTATGTAGCACTGCAGAAAGCTTTGCATGGTCCAAATGAGAGCAGAGTATTCACGGGCAAAGGAAAATACGGTGGTGCAATTAAGACTCACTAATGCTGGCATGGAAAGATTTTTTTTTCACAGAAATCCGAAAATCTGACACGGGGGGAAACAGTCCACTCAGCATGTTTAGCCTGGAAAAGAGGAGACTGGGAGGAGAGAGGACAGCTACCTTCAAATATCTTAAAAGACTGTCACATGGAAGATGGAGAGCAAGCGCTTGTTTTCTCCTGCCCTGGAGGGTAGGACTCGAACCAATGGCTTCAAGTTACAAGAAAGGAGATTCCAACTCAACATCAGGAGGAAGTCTCTGACCGTAAGAGCCCTGGGAAGGTGATGGACTCTCCTTCCTTGGAGGTTTTTAAGCAGAGATTGGATGACCACCTGCCACGGATGCTTTAGCTGAGATTCCTGCATTGCAGGGGGTTGGACTAGATGACCCTAAGAGGTCCATTCTGAGTCTACACAGAATGCCTCTGCAGCAGGGGTGGGAAGGAAGATGCAGCCCTCCAGGCCTTTCTACCTGACCCTCAGGAAAATCCCCAGGCTGCTCTCCTTACCAGCCCTGCTTTGAACCCTCCCTGAGTATTTTTCCCTTGCTGAAATAAGTCTGTGAATGCTGATAATGCCTCTTGCTTGACTGGGTGCAGGAGGGAGAGGGGCATGTGAGGGTGTAGGACAGGGGTAGGCAACCTAAGGCCCGGGGGCCCTATCACCTTCTCAATCCAGCCCGCAGACGGTCCAGGAATCAGCGTGTTTTTACATGAGTAGAATGTGTCCTTTTATTTAAAACGCATCTCTGGGTTATTTGTGGGGCATAGGAATTCGTTCTCCCCCCCCCTCCAAAAAAAAAAAAAAGTCCGGCCCACCACACGGTCTAAGGGACAGTGGACCAGCCCACAGCTGAAAACGGTTGCCGACTCCTGTTGTAGAAACTAGACCTTCATACAATGATAAAAAAATACACTTTTTGCTCTGACCGCTTTTTCTTCCGGGTCCTGCCTGCCCCCAGGTAGTAGCCCAGAAAGGAACGGGGTCTGTGATCTGAAAAAGCCTTCCCACTCCTGCTAAAGAGGTTTGCTTCAGCCCTGCTTTCAAAAGTCACCCACCTATTGCCCTTCATTTCAGGGGCAGCACAGCCCACCCTGCAGCCACACTCACCCTCGTGCCCTGCCAACAACGTCCTTCTTCTCAAGCCAGTTCTGGCCTTCTTTGTACAAGCCTCTGTCGTCAACTTCGTTATTGTCGCCCTTGGTCAGAAATTTGATGTTGCCGTTTTCCCTGCCAAAACAACAAGACGGCAAACGCATTGTGGAGCCACACCTGGAAGTCGCCCATTAGAATGTTTGCAAAACAGAACGGATAAGGTACCAATCTGCCCTTCCTGCTGCCTTTAATAAATATTGAGACCTTCATTTCTGACTCTTACTGACAGATCTAAGCACCTATTTCTCCCTGGGCTGTTAATAATTTACTTTGGGCAAAACAAAGAGTTATCTGTTTAGTTACTAGATGCCTGCCCTAATGTGGTTAAAGAGAAATAAGGGTGTTTCTTGATCTGGAAAACAGGCACCTGAACATGGGAAAGTAACAAGAAATCTGGGGTCCAAGAAAGAGGTTGTTTCAATTCAGAAAAGCTTTGAGGGAATAGCAACCAGACTTACATTCTCTGGGCTAGAGGCAGAAGCCTGGGATTGTGTTCTGCCCAGGGATCTTTTAACCACAACTCCCATAATTCCTGATCACTGGCCATGCTGGCTGGGGCAGAGGGAAGCTGTGATCCAAAAGGTCTGGTGGTGCAAACCACAGGGGCAAACTCCCCGGCTGAACCCCTCAGCACCCGCTGCTAGTCAGTGTACATTAAGTCTGCTAGATGGACCAATAGTTTTACTTGGTGTAAGGCAGCCTCCTATGTTCCTAACATTGGTTTCAGCTCGTGATTAAGTCTGGAGCACAAGCCCAGGTTTGAACCACACACTAAGCAAAGCCATGGCTTAGCTCAGTACAGGGAAGCAGCAGAATGCCTGGGGACGAGCAAAAAGGTCATGACCTCCTTTCCCAGAGCTTGTACATTTGCATTAAGGAACCCCTTCGTCTGCAGTCCTCTGTGATGAACCACTTTATGGAGCTGATGTTTTAAAAAGCGGTTGAACAGCTGCAGAGTGAAAGAAAGTACTGCAGGTGCTTTCAAAGCCCAGTAATTTGGAGAGCTGAGGCTGACTGCATTGACAGCACTCATTCAATACATACATGCACCAAATACGTCCTTTTTTAAAAATTAAGGAATGTACATTTAGCTTCATTTAGCCCAAGTATTTCCTGCCCAGTTCACCCTCCCCATTTCACTTCAAATGCAAATCTCCATTCCTTCTAAGCATTCTACATTCTAACAGCCAAGCAAAATGACTACACCAGTGACAGCACTGAATTGTTTTTGCCATTACTTTTCGTGAACTTTGATTACTCTGTGTACAATCGGAATATCTCTGCCTTCGACTTTAAAAACCACTATTTCCCCGGCCCTGATGGGGTCGTCCCGGAAGTTTGTTAGGAACAGCAGATCTCCTCTGTGGAAGGCTGGCTCCATGCTGCCACTATAAAGGGAAGAAGAGAAACAGGAATTAAAAAGTCGATATCATTCTTCTGTTGGGGAGGAAGCTTGGTACTAGATTTCTTCTTTAAAAATTACTATTACAGTGGTAACTGAAGAAAAATCAGTTATGTTCACAGGCTATTGAAGCCATACCCTGATATTCGACAGGTGACGTATTTCACATTCCAAGGTGCACTATATCCCACAATGCCCAAATACATTTCAAATGTACTTGCCTGGAAATGAAATGACGACAAGGGTTGGTGTCTGGCAGACCTCCCTTGGCTGCGAGACTTGGAATCCTTGCTCAACCTGCTCCCTGCCTTGCAGGACTTTTCCCACCTGGCTGGGGGGGGGGGGGCGCCCTGACTGACTCTAGCTACAAAAGCTGAGGCTGCTGAACAGACTCTTGGGCTGCAGTGTTGTTTGGGGTCTTTGTTGGGGGGGGGGGGAGTGCTGCTGTTAATTTTTTTGCATATTTATTTTGTTTAAATAAAAAAATTATGTGCAAATTGCTCAGTTTGGTTGTGTACATCTTGATGTTACATTTATTGTTTATTACTACTTTTGTTGTGTTTGCAGTTGTGTATTTTTTTATATGTTGCAAGCCGCCTTGAGCATGGTTTTAACTCTGGAAAGGCAACATACAAATAAAATGACTGACTGAGAGCATTCCATAGGCAGGGGCTAAATCTGATTTTAATCAAGCTTATGTGATTTTTATTGTACTTTTTACTTTGGTTGTAAATAATTTTGGGCCTTTTTTAAAAAAAAAAATGGTACATGATGCACAGGTTGAATAAGCTTAACTAGGGATATACATCAGACAGACAACAGTTGCAGAAACCACACATCCTGGTCTCCTTCCAAGATCTGCAGATACTATTTTAGGAGCGGAACAGGGCATAAGCTATGGGTCACTCGCTAACCCAGCAACAGATTTGGTTTAACATAGGCATACCTGAGCACTACAACGATAGGACTCTCACTCCCAGTGATAACAATAAGGCCTTTCCATATCATCAGCGCCGAAGACACAATCATGGCAAAATTTAAGACTTGGTAATAGAGCTGTAAGGAAGGGAAGAGCTGTGATAAGTGGAAACAGCAGATCAAAAACCTGAGATTAAACAAGCAAGCCAACAGATGCCAGCAGGGTTCTCATTTCCTGATGTTATAGCAGCACAGGCGGCACTAGCACAGAATGCACTGGGCTTAAGAGGGATTGCTCCAGCTCCAGAGCTGGGGAAACTAGCTTGGGTGTGAATGGCAGAGCCCAAACACTTTTAAGGAACGAGGAAGCAAGTGTGAAAGGAGGTGCCAGGGCGAGGGAATCTCCTGATAAGACTGGACTCCAGTAACCCACATTTGTGCTTTTACAGCTCTACAAGTCACAGTGACCCCCACTTCTATGTTTGGGGAGGGGGAGAGATTATTATACTGCACAGAAACATAAATGGCCACAGCGGCTAGTCTTGAAAGAACCAAACCAATGCAGAAACCTATTAACGGTCGAGATTGTTTGCTTCCAGGAAGGAAAGGGGAGGCACATTCTGAGATGTAAATACTGTAGGATCTTTTTATCTTCAACAGGCACACGTTGAGCTTCTTCGACAGAGGTGAAGGCTCCCCAGGGCGCCGTGCCTTTATAACAGGCGGCTTGGTGGGGTTGCACAAAACAGGGCAATCAAAAACAGACTGCCGGGAAGGGGGGTGCACTGACCACAACACTGCCGCCCTCCCCAGAGAGGGGGAAAGTAGATCAATGCAGAGGGGAAAGTAGGGCACTCAGATTTCACCTGCCTGCACAAGGCAGCTGTGCAGTGCTCAAAAGGAACCCAAAGGATGGCCTCATTTCCTGGCTTCTTTCAGAACCGGTAAAATTGTTCAAAGGCAGAGGTTGGGGTGGGGGGAGATAAACTAGAACATTTTTTTTCTTCACCCTCCATGATTTATTGTGGTCACCCAGAAACATATGTACTCTGCTCACAAAAGTTAAAATAATACAGTATTATTTTTTTTAAAAAAAGCACACACACAGAGAGAGAGAAAAACACAACACAATAAAAAGCAGCTGAGCTAGAGTTTGTTTGGACCCTGGGTGAGAACATGGTGGCTAAAAGGGAGGGTGTGTCAGAAGGAAAACAAATGGATATTGATTTATAGATAAAGCTTTTTATTAATGTTACATTTTTATATGTAACCGTGCGCTTTTGTAATATTTTGTTTACGATGTCTGTTGCATGATGTCTGTTGCTGCTTCAGTTTTTTGGGTACCACCTCTTAGAGATATTTTAAATATATTAAGTGGTACAGAAATTAAATGATCAATCAATATAAAATCACCCATTGGGTGGTGTCTAGTGAATTAGTTCCATTAGCACAAGGACTTGGGGCTGAACAACTGAACCTTCCCTTCTCCTCTGCCCATACGCCGTCACCCCCCAAAAAAAAAACTGTTCTGGAAGTTACCCCAACCCTACAAAGCAAATCTAGTGAGGGAACCAAGAGGCGGAGAGGAAGTTCTGTTGCACAAGAAGAAAACCTTGCACTAGCAGAAGTACTTCATATTGACACCGTCCATTGAAATTATTGGTTTTTGTTGCTTATGCATTTTTACAACTTATATATATATACATCATACAATATCCATCATTTATCCCTTATCCTTAGACTTCCCAGTCCACCTCTCCATGGCATTCTAGGTAGTCTTCTGCTGGCTGCATATTCTATTATTTCACCCATTTTTGTCTCAAATGTTCATTTATTTAGTGTTATCTGCTGCCTATATGTTCATTCCTACTTGTGGGTTAAATTGACTGTTGCACCCTCTAAGATACCGTCCAGTGAAATTAATGGAGATGGAAAGGTCCATTCACTTTCAATGGTTCTTTCCTGAGCATAGCTTAGTCATAGAATCATAGAATCATAGAGTTGGAAGAGACCACAAGGGCCATCGAGTGCAACCCCCTGCCAAGCAGGAAACACCATCAGAGCACTCCTGACATATGGTTGTCAAGCCTCTGCTTAAAGACCTCCAAAGAAGGAGACTCCACCACACTCCTTGGCAGCAAATTCCACTGTCGAACAGCTCTTACTGTCAGGAAGTCGAATACAAACATTATTTGGAACGGCCCAGTTCAATTCCTGACATGTCCAGGGAAAGCTGGGAATGTCCCTACTGGAAACTCTGGCCAGCTGCTGCCGGTCATTGTAGATAATACTAACCTCAATGGTGCAGCAACCTGATCTGGTGTTCCTATAAGTTAGCCCTTCCCTAGACTAGGTGCTCAAGTGGATCTGTGATTTTGACATGCAGTGAAGCCGTCGTGCAAACTGCTCTTGCCGGTGTGAGGCTCACCCCACATTCCCCATGACGCCACAAAGCTGACAAAAAGCTCCAGCCAAGACGTGGGGAGTGAAATGTACACTTGGATTATATGCTGGGCAGGTGGTGGAAGAAGTGTCATAACTGCTTAACCTCAAAAAGGAAGCTCCACTTGACTTACATTCTTAAGACACCAATTGGGTTGGATGAATCATCCTTTCATCAATCACCCACCCACCCGAAGAGAGACCAGAAATGTAAAAAAAAAAAGGAAAAGCTGCGTTCTACATCCTCTTTGCACACCCCCAACAACTCTCCTCCATCAAAACATTCTCCTCCCAAGCACTTCCAGGCTTCCTTATTTTATCTCTCAGCATCCTGTATGACGAAAGGGGGGGGGGTCCGCATTTATTTGCTCCTAAGATGCTTTGGGGCAGCTGTGAGGAGAACCCCACCGATTTTAAATATGGAGGATGAAAGGAAAGAAACTGGAACTCTGAAGAGTAGAAAAACAAACCCTTTTCAGCTCTTGTTTTCCAGAATGAGAAACCTGCCATGGAATTCTGCTCAATATTGATCCAGAGTAGAATCCAATGTATAGTTTGGAATACATATATTTGTATAGTTAGCTGAATAACAACTTAAACACGTTGCAGGATTCTCAGAAAATAGACCAGAGGTAATTGTATTTCATCCAGCAGAGCATTACTGCTACTGAAGGCAAATGAGCATAATGGTCACAAATCCAATACATTCAGGGTTGGCACTGTCCATAGAAATCCAGTTGCAGCAGACTTAAATTAAACTTAAAATAAGACTAAACCTTAACACTGTATACAGAACACAACACCAGAAGGAAAAGAGCTTGAAAGAGGAAGTGAAGCCCAGGCTCCTTCTGGCCTATTATTATAGTCAGCATGACCGTGACAGAAGAGATAACAGAACTAGTTTAAGCCAGCTATACTCAGTTTCTCGGTAGGAATAACCCAAACATCATGAACCCCCTGTCCAACCCCCAGGAAGACAGGAATCACAACTGATAGACCCAGCCTCAGTTTAAAAACCTCCAATGAAGGAGAGTCTACAACCTCCCAAAGAGGTTTTTAAACAGTGGTTGGATGGCCTGCTGTTTTTAAATATGCAACTGCTTTTATAAAGGTTTATACATATATACCGTATTTTTTGCTCTATAAGACTCACTTTTTCCCTCCTAAAAAGTAAAGGGAAATGTGTGTGCGTCTTATGGAGCAAATGCAGGCTGTGCAGCTATCACAGAAGCCAGAACAGCAAGAGGGATCGCTGCTTTCGCTGCGCAGTGATCCCTCTTGCTGTTCTGGCTTCTGGGATTCAGAATTTTTTTTTCTTGTTTTCCTCCTCCAAAAACTAGGTGCGTCTTATGGTCCGGTGCGTCTTATAGAGCGAAAAATACGGTAGGTCTTGCAGGCAACAAGACAAACTGTAGTTGTGCTTTTCTTTTACCTGGCGCTTGTTCATTCGCCGCAGGTCACCAAATATATCCATGGCTGCAGCTTTCTGAGGAGCCAATAACAGAAAGAGAGAAGGAGAGAGGAATGTTATTCTTAAACTAGGTAAGGTAAGGTAAAAGGTAAAGGACCCCTGGACGGTTAAAAAGGTAAACGGACCCCTGACCATTAGGTCCAGTCGTGACCGACTCTGGGTTGTGGTGCTCATCTCACGTTATTGGCCAAGGGAGCCAGTGTACAGCTTCCGGGTCATGTGGCCAGCAGAACTAAACCGCTTCTGGCACAACAGAACATCGTGATGGAAGCCAGAGCACATGGAAATGCTGTTTACCTTCCTGCCACAGCGGTAACTATTTATCTACTTGCACTGATGTGCTTTCGAACCACTAGGTTGGCAGAAGCTGGGACAGAGTAACGGGAGCTCACCCTGTCATGTGGATTTGAACCACCAACCTTTGGATTGGCAAGCCCAAGAGGCTCAGTGGTTTATTTCACAATAATATTTATTATTTTCCATACATAAACATAGCAAAAGAAAAAATTAACAATAATAAAGGAAAAAGAGAGAAATAGAAAAAAGAAAAAGAAAAAATAATATAGAACATAAAATAAAACAAATCATCACTACAATAACATTTAATTAACTAATTAAAATCCATCTTCATAAACATATTATTTGACTTCCTCAAATCTCTTCCATCTGAATTTCTTAGTAATTATATGTAGCAGTTTCCAATATCATTATTTCATAGAACCATGTCACAGTCATAATCATATTTCAAGAGGCTCAGTGGTTTAGACCACAGCGCCACCCGTGTCCACTTTTCTTAAACGAGGTTGAAGTGCAAAGCTGTGAATTCTACCAGGTGTATCTTTCACAGAAAGGATGTGGGCAAAAAGTATGGTTAGGTTGTAGTGAACACTGAACTGCAACCCTCGTTCTGGTATCAATTGTATGGGGAGACTTAGGACAAAAATATATAACCTTTGGCCTTCCGGATCTTGTTGGACACCAACTCCCATCAGCCAGCATGGCAAATGGTCAGGGATGATGGGAGTTGTAGTCCAACAACATGGAGGGCCACAGCTTCCCCAGCCTTCAAATACACCCCTAGCCAACTTTAATAAATGGTTGCTTTCAACTGCTCAAAGGGCATTATCTAGCTGCAATACTTATTGACTTACCTTTCAGGGAATCTTATATCGTTAGACCTCATACTGTAGACCACCTATGCTAGTCTTCACCATCCTGGTGCCCTTCCTTCCAGATGTGTCAGACTACAACTCCCATCAGGCACAGTGAGCATGGATGTTGGGAGTTGTAGTATGGCACATCTGGAAGGACACCAGCTTGGCAGCGGCAAGATTCAAACCACAGGCTCCCTGATTCATAACTCAGTTTCTTAACTACTACACTTCCCCTTTAGAAGCAACTATATTTTCTTTAAGTGTTTGTTTTTGGCAGAAGCATTTCATGTTACTTAACATGACACCAGGCCAGCAAGGCAGGAGGGTTGCCAAGGAACCAGAACTTCATACTGTTCAACAGATATATGTATGAAAACCTCACAAATCACACAATATCTGCTTCCAAAATTACTACAAAAGAATAATACACCTTGCATGTAGTACAAAATGCAGATTCATTTCAATTTCCCAGGTTTGGCGTATCTTAACTGGAGATGCTTAGTCAGCCTAGGACAGTATTAACAAGTCTGACAGCAGCTCAACAGGGGTTTCCCCCAGACCTGTTATTTAAGCTCCTTTTGTCTGAAGACGCCAAGGACTGAACCAGAAACCATCTGCCTGCAACACACATGCTCTGCCACTAAGCTCTGGCCTCCCCTATCCTTATAATCTAAGAAGTTAGCACACACTTTCCAACATTTTAACTTAGCAGCAGAGAACTGCAGCGGAAATCACTTTGGGCTCACACATCAAAGTTTGCAAGACTAACAGTTCAAGGATGTCTATCTGATGCCTCTCAAACCACACTAGGTATTCTTCAACCGTTACACCCTTGCAGCAGCGTGTGGCAAGAGAGGGGGTGGCATGAACAATGTCCTCCAGTGTCCCCCAAGAGACAGGGATGCCACAAACTTGGGTGGCTTTAAATGAGGATTGGGGAAAATCCGTGGAGGAAAGAGCTATCAATTCCTATTGGCCACCATAGTTATGCTTCACCTCCACAGATGGAGGAAGTAATGCAGCTCCTGGAAACCACAGGAAAAGAGAATACTCTTGTGCTCATGGTTCTGCTCCCTGGTTTCCCACAGGAATCTGGTTGGATAATGTGAACACGAGCTGCAGGACTGGATGGCCGCTGGCCTGATCTAGCAGAGCTGTTCCTATAGAAGGAAATGAAAAATGACCAAGAGCAAAGGGTAGAGCATGAGACTTTCGATCTCAGGGATGTGGATTCGAGACACACCTTGGGCAAAAGATTCCTGCACTGCAGTGGGCTGGACGAGATAACCCTCCTGGCCCTTTCTACCCCTACAAGTCTATGAGTTGCAAAAGTCTTCCCTGCTCACTCCTTGTTGCAGGGTGATGTCCGGACTCCATACGATTAGGCTGGAGAGTCAGAACCAACTGGCAGCCCAAAACAAAGCACCATGGGGAGGAGCAGGGGAAAGCAACACCCCACCCCCATATACGCTTGGGGTGCATCATGCAAAAGTAGCGTTGTAAGGGGACCACGAGGGTCAGCTGGTCCTTGCAATGCAGGAATCTTTTGCCCGATGTGAGACTCGAACCCACGACCCTGAGATTTAAGAGTTTCATGCTCTGCCGACTGAGCTATCCCAAGGACCAACTTTGGGTTGCAAAATAAAGCGACTGGTAAATTAAATATTATTATTATTATTAATTCGTTTTTGAAAACAGTGCAACTATAGATATATAAGACTGCGAGCCCCCAGCCTCCACTGAGTTCCAAAAGCAAGCCTACTTAATTGCAACCTAGCAATTAGACCCTTTAGACCCCCTATTTTTGTGCGTGTATCCCCCCCTCCTACCAGCAGGTAAGGAGGGTCGCCAAGTAAGGGGGGGGCAAGGCTCTGCTGGAAGAAGCCCCTCCCCTAGAGCCCCCTTCCCCAAATGAGCCCCACTTGAGAGGGGCTCGCGAGACCTCTACTCACAGCAGCAGCCTCCTCCCTGCCGCCGCCGCCGCCGCCGCAGACCATTCACATTCCCCAGAGCAGCTGGCCCAGGTGGGACAAGGCACAGGGCTCACGCTGTTTTCGCGCAGGCTTCTGGGATTTGTAGTCCCGCTGCTTTCCCCTCTCGCGGCGATCCCGGTGCAGCAGCGGAGACCTGGGGAACTACGTCTCCCAGAATGCAGCTGCGCGGGGAGAGGGGGCCCTTTCCGTTTACTGTCGTGGCGGCCGCGCTAGTGCCTGAAAGCACCGATATTTTGTCACAGGGAGGGAGAAGAGTTGAGGCTTATTTTTGTATTTTATTTTAAAAAACCAAAAACCAGCCACGGTACAGGACCGCCGCACTGAACCAATTCGACTCGGGTTCGAGGGAAGCGGATTCGGGTGCTCGCGTCAGGCGGTACTTAGGACGGCTAAGCATTCGAGAGAGTCTGTTAAACCGTGGACGTCGTTCATTGGCGAGAGGGGAAAGGAAAGGGGCGGGGCTTAGAGGAGGTAAGCCAGCGGTAAAGAGGCGTGGCAAGTTGAGCCATCGCTGGGATTTGGAGGCGGGGCTAAGAAGGATGCCGTGTTAGAATTGAAGACGCGGAATCAGCCTTGCGTGCGTGAATGACGCTGGTGGAAGAGGCGGGGTTAGAGTGAGAAGGCGTTTGATAGTGAGGTGTCAAATATAAAATGCAAGGTGCTAGTCCTCAAGCACTCTCACCTCCCGAGGCATGACCAGAAACTACAACCTGGAGGGTTTTCTCTTTGGGTCTTACTCTCTTCCCACATCAGGGGTGGAGAACCATTTTTTTTTCTGTTCAAGGGCTAAAAATGGGTGAATTTCAATCATAGCTGTCAACTTACGGATTTGAAAAGGGACCAGCAGCCTCGAAAATAAGGGATCAGCAGCCAATATAAGGGATTTTCCAAGCACAGGTATGTTCAACTTCTGAGCCCCTCCAAGCCAAAGGCAGAAAGCCCAGCCAGCAGCCAAACAAAGCCTTGAGCAGTGGTTCCCACAGCACAACAACCCGGCAAAGGGGATGCAGCAAGGGAAACCACCGTCACCTCTCCGCTGGGAAGCGCTGAGCAAAGGCGAGTCCCCAGGCAACGCGGCCGATTTGATCAGCACAAGGCATGCAAGCCCCACCCCCCAGTCGTTCTTAGATTCCTTATTGGGTGAGCAACGCAGCAAAGCAACACAGTTGGAGCCTCCCTCCTCCCTGGCCGGCAGGGAGGGAAGGAGAGGAGCTGCTTCCTTTGAAACCTGGGAAATTTAAGGGACATCATCAATAAGGGACAGCAGTGGGACACAGCGCTGGGATAAGGGACATTCCCGCCAAAATAGGGACGGTTGACAGCTATGATTTCAATAAATGTGAATTTCGCTTTTGCACCAGCAGGTAGATTCTCCACATTCACACAACCCTCTTGTTAAGTTGTGGGTGAACATATCAGATGACACAGCGATTCTTCAAACAGCTCTTGTTTATTCACAGACCCAGAACAGAACTGAACTGAAGGGTTCAGCCAGCCTGCTTATATAGAGCTCCACTACAATGCAACAGTAACAACTTTCTGTAACTATCCAATCCCTGAACGTCACTTTCAATTCCTTATTTGCATATGTGGGCCTGAGTGAAAACTGTCTACAGTATCCCCCTGCTGGCCCAGGGTGAGAACTTCAGTACATAACACCTCTCTATGCTCCATTCATGCAAGCAAGAAGGACAAGGTCCAGCCAGGCAAAAAACACTCAAGGGCGGGTGCAAAATACAAAGGGTGAGGTGTATTGCCTGTGGAGAGTCCCAATGCCTGGACAGAGAAATGTAAATGTATCCCCCCTCCGTCTGAAGCTCTCACACACACACTGACTGCCTACCATAGCTGTCAACTGTCCCTTATTTGGCAGGAAAGTCCCTTATCCCATCGCCGTGTCCCGCTGCTGTCCCTTATTGATGATGTCCCTTAAATTTCCCAGGTTTCAAAGGAAGCAGCTCCTCTCCCTCCCTCCCTGCTGGCCAGGGAGGAGAGAGGCTCCAACTGTGTTGCTTGGCTGTGTTGCTCACCCAATAAGGAGTCTAAGAACGACTGGGGGGTGGAGCTTGCATGCCTTGTGCTGATCAAATTGGCCACGTTGCCTGGGGACTCGCCTTTGCTCAGCGCTTCCCAGCGGAGAGGTGACAGTGGTTTTCCTTGCTGCATCCCCTTTGCTGGGTTGCTGCGCTGTGGGAACCACCGCTCGAGGCTTTGTTTGGCTGCTGGCTGGGCTTTCTGCCTTTGGCTCAGAGGGCCTCAGAAGTTGAACATACCTGTGCTCTGAAAATCCCTTATTTTGGCTGCTGATCCCTTATTTTCGAAGCTGCTGGTCCCTTATTTTCAAATCTGTAAGTTGACAGCTATGCTGCCTACACCGTGTGCTTTGGCTCACTTGCAAGAGTTGTTTTGTTGCACTTCCTCTGGAATAAACTTTATGCAGATCATATGGCCCCCGCCGGAGTTTGGCTAACAGATTTGTGGAGGAGCTGACGGCGAGCGGGTGCTTTACTTCAATGGGTTGGTTAACATCAGCAGTGGGGATCCTGCGATCTCTCAGGTGTTGGATTCCAACTCCCATCAGCCCCATCATCTAGCATGGGATGACGGGAATTGTACTCCAGCAAGATCCATAGGAGTCAGGCAGCTATTTAGTCCATTCCAGCTACATTATTGCATGGCAACTTACTTTAACACAGAAATTCTAGGAGCCACTGGGATGGTTTCCTGCCTTTTTTGGGACCTGTGAAGCATTCAAGAGATGTGTGAGAAAGTGAACATTAAATCACAAGTTTCATCTGCCTGCTTATGTGGCCACACGAGAACGACTGCTGAATTCAACTGTAGGAGCATTGTGTAAAACTCTTGTGCAAGCATTTTCACAACAGTGTCCAAGGTACATGGTGTCTGACTCAGCTTCTCATTATTGTAAGAGCAATTTGCGAAAATGCAGCATGTTTAGCCTGTCTTCAAAAAGCCTTGCGTTACAGAGGAAGAGCACTTTGTTCCCAGCTTGGAAACACAAAGAAATGGTTTCTCCTGACCTCCATACAATTTCCTCCAGCTTCTCAGTAAGTGTGGATGCCTGTGTTTTATTATTCACCGTTTGTGCGGCATTTCCACTGATGTGTGTCTCTGCTTGGTGCCAAAATCCTAGAACAGCAACTGGCCCATATTTTCCAAATGAGGAATAAGAGTTGCCTACTGAATGGAAGAAAACAGACCCCTGTGGGTTAATTCTTTTTTCCTTTTTTTTAAATAAACATTGGACTAGTTGACACAAACTGGTGCAAGTATACTGTATGTGTAAGCAAATAAATAAATCAGAATTTTTTGCTTGGTTGTCCCATTTGGAGGGAGAGAGGAGAGTCTGATTATTTGAGGCCCTGTCTACACCATACATTTAAAGCACATTTATACCCCTTTAAGAGAATCTTGGGAACTGTAGTTTGTTAAAGGTACTGGAATTGTAGCTCTGTGAGGGCAGCACCCTCGGTGAACTACAGTTTCCAGGATTCTTGGTTGGGGGGGGGACCCTGACAGAGTAGTATGTGTGTTTAAATGTATGGTGTGGGGGTGACCTCTTGAGAGAGTCCCCTCACCTCAAAAAACATATTGAAAAGTTGGGGGGTTCAGAAAAGGGCAACCAAAATCATTTCCTGTTACTGTATTCCCAAGCAATGCCGCCTGTTAGCTCCAAACAGATATGCACAGGCAGAGACAGGAATGCAATGCTTAAACCTCAGGATTATGAAGCAGATTAGGGATGAGGCTAGCAGAACTCTGGATAGATCACTTTTCCAAGGGATTTGGATAAAATAATTAATCTGAGCCTTGAAAATGCCCATAGAGGTGAAAGAGGAATGAAATATACTCGGAGTGGATTTCATGCTCTTTATTCAGCTCATAGTGGTGAGGAGGAATGGAAGTTCCCCCAGAATGTCTGCCTTATATACATTATTTACACAATGGGCCCCACGTGATTGGCTAATTCCAGGATTCTCCTGTAGGCCAATCCGGTTGCAGATTCAATTCCACCTGGAGCTGGATTGGGTGGCTCATGTGGACTAATCAGACTGCTGCATTCTGAATCCTATTGTTCTAGGACCAATCAGACTGCTGCATTCTGAATCCTATTGTTCTAGAATCAATCAGACAGCTGCATTCTGAATCCTATTGTTCTAGAATCAATCAGACAGCTGCATTCTGAATCCTATTGTTCTAGGACCAATCAGATTGCTGCATTTTGGATCCTATTCAACTCAGTACATAACAAGGAAGTAGGAAAGAGTGTCTCTCTCCAAACTTCCTCCTTCAGTTCTATGTCGTTTTTTCACCTCTCTCACCACCTCCTGGTTAAGAGAATGTGTGGGTACCAGGGGAAGATCTCAAGAGCTTCCACTGCCCCCTACTGGGTGCCTTGCTGGTAATCTCTGGACTAGGATATGACTACCCTAATCTGATTGTGAGAAGACAATCTGTTCTCAACTTGTTTGCCAGAAGAAAGGGAGTCGTTCTGCAGAGTTGCATCTAAACCCTGAAGAAACAACAGTGCTATGGCATTTGATGTCTAAGGCATGCCCATAGCTGGAGCACCGACTTGAGACGAAGTGTCCTCTGTTTTATGTGGTATTTATTCTCTATGTTTCCACTGGGCCCGTTTCCAGTCATGTTGTTTTATCTTGTTTTTGCCGTTCCTTCTGATTTACTCCGTCCTTCGTTTCAATATTCCTTTCTACTCTTCGCAATGTTAAACACGCAGCAGACGGTCATCATTTTGCTATTAAAGAAATATCCCTTGAGAAGAATCCGTGTAAGATGGACATCAAATACAGTGTTACTGTATCGCCTTATTGCCTGCCCTTAAATCGATATTGCCATTTCTTATAAACCTTTGGAGTGTTCTCTCTAATTCACGCCTGCCTTTTGATACTTGGCGTTAATCCTACTACTAAATCACTCCTAAATGTCACTTTCCCTTACCACCTGGTCTCCCTCCCTCTCCTTTCTGCGTTGTCTTCAGATTAGTAGGATAAGGGCACAGCTGGTGTCTTAATTCTGATGTCCAGTGCCCGGT